AAGAATAAAAACAGTGGGTTTTATTCTGTCGAACTTAAATCTTAAAAATGGAAAGAGCACCGGAAAAGAATAAAAACCGCACCGGAAAAGAATAAAAACAGTAATCGATGGGGGAAAGAAGCAATTCTTAATGGTGATGTGGGACCCATTGAATGGATTTCGTGTGGTTCCGCCATGTGGCATGTGACATGACAAAAGTGTTACGCAAATCATCACTTTTTTAAATTTTGCTCTCCACATCATCAAAAAAAATATAAAAAATGCCACCTAAGCAGGGTTAACGGCTCAATCTAACAGAAGGACTAACGGAGTGCATTTCGTATAGTTGAGGGATCAAAAAAGTGAAAAAAATTATTAAGGGACCAAAAATGTGCAAACCACTAAAGTTGAGGGACCAAATCTAGCATTTAACCTTTTTATATTTATGTACAATAGAATAAAAACTCAAAAAAAAAATAAAATAAAATGAGTTTTTCCACACTTTCTAGTAACTTGAATAATGATATGCAAAGTAAATCGCTTACCCATCAATTAAATCTTTTTTTTTTTTAATTTTAAAACAATTATTATTTTTTAAATTTTAATTTCAATTTAAAAATTTATAAATAATTTATTTATTTAATAACTTATATTATTTTAAAAAAATAACATGTAAGAAGAGTTTTTTAATAATAAAGTGATTAATTAAAGTAAATAAAATTAAAATAAAAAATATTTATTTATTTTTAAAAATAATAAAAATAATAATTAATTTAAAACAAATTTAAAATTAAAAAATAGTTAATTTAATTGGAAAGTAATTCATTTGCATATCTATCGATTTTAATTCAGGCAAAGTGTCTCGAGTAGAAACCCTTATTTGCAAGTTTCAATTAAACCTTTGTTTTTTTTGTCCAAATTTTCAGTTAAACTTAATTTCCTTTGGAATTGGCCAATAAGTAATATTCCAAGCTCAATGTACAAATTAGAAAAACTGCTTCCTCTAGGAGAGCGACCACCCATTAAGGTTTTTCGCCAGTGGTCCTGTCGGATTTCCTCTCTCCGTTATCACTATCTGCTCTCTAAACATAAAATCTAAAAATAATCACCCAATCTACTCAGATAATCACCCACCCACCTTGCTTTTGGGAATCGCAACATCTCCCAGTGATCTCTTCTCAATCACCAACAGTCGCAGCTACCACAAACTCTCAAACCTTGCATTGCTGTTCTTCGAAGACCTTACCTGAACAAAACTCCCAAGAACTTCTAATTCTTGGGTTTCTTTGTCACCGCTGTATCGTGATGCTTAATCACCTCTGATGCATTACACCGCAGCCAAATCCCTATCATCAACACAAATTTCTTACTAATCCCCCTTGATTTTACCCATAATTTGCATTTGCATGAATCTCTTCAGTACCAACCATCCGCTATCGTGTGGAATATGAAGCCTAAAATTCTATCAATCGTTGAAGACCTCAATTTAGGGGACGTGTTTGAGCTTCTCAGGGCAATAATGGGTGGAGTTAACTAGAAGTTTGATATAGTGTGGAAGGGGGAAACTTCTGTGGTCTGGAAGCCAAATTGTGTTGATAAGATAGTTAATTTATTTCCGTTTGAAGCTGGGTCTATGGATTTCGGAATGCCATTTGCTAAATTTTGTTATGTAATTCCAAGGAATCAGTTAGGATCTGTTAATGGCAAGGAAACTAGGCAAATCAGTAATTCAATTTTTAGGTATCTGTTTATGGATTTGCATGAACCAATTGCTAAGTTAGTTGAATTTAACAATGGAAATAGTTATGGGCTCTGTTGTTGATGAGAATTTTCTGGCTATGAGTTATTCCATTGTGAATGCAAATAAGTATTTGAATACTGGGCCATTGGTCGAGTATGTTCAGGTTATTGTGGCTAAAGCTATAAGTATGACTATGGGTGGATTTACAAGTTATGCTAATATGACTAGCTTGGTTTATTCACACCTGTTTGCTAAGGGGTTTTGTAGTTGTCTTGTAACAACCAGCAGGGAGCCTTAAGGACCAAGCTAAAACTAGCACAAGGGTAGGGATCTCCCCCGTGGCTAAATGAGGAAAACATGATGCACACCTTAGACTCTCTACTTCTTATTTCCATAATCTGTTCTTTTATGTTTTATCTAGTCCTAGTTGTTTGTCTATTGTTTGTCGTGACTCTTTGAGGAAGCTCAGGGCAATGAGAAAGGGGTACCATTCTGCTTGTCTTGGAAAGGGATGGATTCCCGTACTCAACCACCTTCTGGATCCTCTCTATCCTAGCTTGTTTTTAACTGTCTTCACTTGAAAAATCACAAAAATTTGTCCTGCTGTTGTTAGTTTCTCTGACGTTGGAAGTCTTTGGGAGATGATAAGATGGTTACTCTGGGTGTGAAACTCTTTCTATTATATTTCGACCCAAATTATGTTACTTTTTAAGTATTGTGTTAAGTTTGTTGCTAGTGTATGTTTGGAAAGGAGTGTTAGTGGATGGGTTTATGCATGTTTGGAGATGGTAGTATATGGTGTAGGCTGGTGAAGGGGAGTTGGGCTATGGAAGGGGTTTTCTCTCCACTTAATGGTGCTAACTCTTCTCTTAGGCAGTGCTATATTCCAAAGCATTGCCAGAATCTTTCTCAAACCCAAATCTGCTTCTCAGTTGGTGTTCCATGGCAAGAGGTAGCTGATTCAGGTAGATTGCTGAAGGATCTTCTCTGGATTTGCAGTTGTGAGACCTTGGGCCCATCTCTTGTCTCTCTTCTTCACTACTTGAAGAGTGGAACAATGGCCAAGCTTTTTGATAAGCTTCTCTGTGAGGCTTGTGCCGCTGACATCCTTTCCAGTGTTTCCTTCCCTGCATACTTTCTATTGGTTTGCTTCTAGTGTTTCGTTATCATGTTGTGTTTCTGTTGGTAGGGGGTGTGAATTCCGTTACTGTTTAGTCTGTAATAACTCTTGTATAAGACTTTGATTTCCAGTATTAGTAGACGTATGATAGTTTTTCGACCAAAGAAAAAAAAGTACAAATTAGAAAAGCTAATTTATATCTTCCACACAACAACATAATGTGACTTAAAAGAATAAGTCACAAAAGATATATGTTTCCCACGTTCTGTGGCCTATGCCACTTGCGTAAGTGGGGAACACTCCCTTGATTAAAGGACTAGTTGAATTACTGTTAATAATAGGCCAACGCCAACAAATTTGAGTGTGTTTATCCCTGAAATCAGATGTCTTTTTTTCTTTTTTTTTTTATAACAACAATAATATAGTTATAATGTGATATAAAATTATAAATTAAATAATTAAATATATATTATTCTAAGTAAATATATTTTTAAATAAAAAAATAAATTATTTTTTTGACATATTAAAATTATAACTATCTAATATTATATGATATTATAATTATATTATTTATGTTTTTATAACTCTATTTGTAATACTTTCCTACTTCTCATAATGAGAGAATTTTTTAATTTAAAACTTGTCTAAAAATATAAAAATAATTTTTTGTATAAATTTTTTATATAATTTTTATATTTTAAATAAATGAATAAAAAACTGATCATTTAAATAATACATAAAATTATATAAAAAAATCTTTCTAAATCATTTTCTTTTTAAGGGAGACGAATAGTTTTTTCCTTATTTTAACATTAGCATAATTTCTTGATCTTGATTATTTATCATATTATAAAAACATCTCATTATTTTTATTTTTTTAAAAATAATATAAAAAATTATAAATCATCTGTAAAATTTTAATTTATAGATAAAATAAAAAAATATTATACAGGAGAACGGAGGAGTATTACTCTTTTTTTTTTAATAGGTGCTTTTCATTTTTGTTATTAACTTATTGTGGGACCCAGCTGATAAATCGTGATTCTCTCCGCCTCAAAAATTCAAAATTCAAAGATATATTTTCACAAAAAAAAAAAAAACATTTTTTTTGGATTTATTTAACACGTAAGCACAAATTAAGATATAATAAATGTATAAGTTTTTATCCCATTTGTTCTTAATTATTTGATTGTACTATTTTTTATTGTAATATTATCTTAAATTAGGTTTAGTTATCCCATTTTTTAAATAAAATAATTTGATTTAGTTATCTCATTTTTT